CACTCCTTAGCAATAATCATCCTAAAGTAAATAGTAATAGCAAGTAGTTCCATTTACTGGAATAAATGAGAGGTCAGCAAGCTGATTTAAAGTACATATAAAATTTTATGCTTCTATGATCTATTATATTTTTAAAAATTTTTGGCTATGCTATTCCTTATTGAGTTTCTTCATGTTTATATTTTATGTAGATACGTTTGCAAATGTGAGAACAGAGTGTGTATAAGAGCGCAGGTGATGTTTGTTTATTTATTTATTAAAGATTTTATTGGGGAATTGGGGGAGGGGAACAGACGAGTTGCTGTCCTTTTGTTCTTCAGTCTAGTTGTGGAGGACGGCGTTTCACTGGCCCATGTTGGTATTATAATTGCACTCTTCCCGGGTGAGGCAGTTGCTCACTGGCCATTGGATGGCTACTCACGGCGGCTCAAGGCAGCTCGCAAAAGCTCACTCCTGCTGCCAGCCAGCCCCACTGCAGCCTACTCCATCGCCAGCAACTCACAGCAACCCAGCTCCAGGTCAAGCTGTTGTTCACCATCTTAGCTGTAGAGAGCGCAGCACCACTGGCCCTCAATGTGGGATCCGAACCAGGGCCCTGCTGCTCAGAGCTGGCGTCCCAAGCCAACTTCTAACCAGCGTGCCACATGGCCAGCCCCAGATGATGTTTATTAATACACTATGTTCTGAGGTTACTTTGATGATTTATCTAATATGTCTTACACTTTGTGGGTTTACCCACCTGTCCTCACTTAAATGCTCTCCCAGTGAGCCTATTATTCTAGAGTTAGGCACCAGCTCATTGAACGCGGGATTTGTTGGGATCTGTCTTCTTCGCAAGCCACGCTTACAAAGCAACCATGTCTAAGGGACCCATCTGCACTTGGCATTGATCTTGGCACCACCTACTCTTTGTGGGTGTCTTCCAGCATGGGAAAATGGAAATAATGGCCAATGATCAGGGAAGCCGAACCACCCTAATTTGTGTCGCCTGTACTGACACGTCAGACTACCAAAGATGCGGGAACTAGTGCTGGTCTCAGTGTGCTTAGAATCATCAATGGACCAACTGCTGCTGCTGTTGCTTATGGCTTAGACAAAAAGGTTGGAGTTGAAACAAATTTGCTGATCTTTGATTTTGGAAGAGGCACTTTTGATGTGTCCATTCCCTTAACTGAATATGGATTCTTTGAGGTCAAATCTACAGTTGGGGACGCCTACTTAGGTTAAGAAAACTTTGACAACCAAATGGTCAGCTATTTTATTGTAGAGTTCAAGCACAAGCATAAGAAGGACATCAGTGAGGACAAGAGGGCTGTGTGTTGCCTCCGTACTGCTTGTGAACGTGTTAAGTGTACTGTCTCTTCCAGCACCCAGGCCAGTATTGAGATTGATTTGCTCTATGAAGGAATCAAGTTTTATACCTCTACCACTTGTGCCCGATTTGAAGAACTGAATGCTGACCTTTTCTGTGGCACCCTGGACCCTGTAGAGAAAGCCCTTGTCCTGGATGCCATGCTCTACAAGTCCCAGATCCATCATAGTGTCCTGGTGNCCCGAGCTGAGCTGCCAACAGGTGGCAGGATGGCTCAGCTGGTGAGAGCATGTGCTCCTAACAACAAGGCTGCCAGTTCGACTCCACATGGGATGGTGGCTATGCCCCCCTGCAACTAATTGAACATAGCACCTTGAGCTGAGCAGCGTGATTTGAGCTGAGCTTGCTGCGCTCACCACAATTAAGATTGAAGGACAACATCTTGGCCGTTCCTCTTCCCCAATTCCCCAACACTGTTCCCCTCCCCCAATCCCCCAATAAAATATTTTTCAGAAAAAGAAAAGAAAGTAAGAAGAAACAGGAATAACAGGGAGGGAAAAAGATTCAGGAATGCATCATTTAACTTTCTTCATTAGTACTTAAAATAGAGGTATATTAATATATGGACAGGACAGTCTGGGCGGAGACCGCATCTAGCATTGTTGAAGAAGGGCAAGTTCTGTTAGGAAAATCACAAGAGGTCATACAGTCTTGAGCAACTGGAAAGAAACTTGAAGTTATCAAGGGAGGACAATGAGAATGGTGAACAGGATTCCTAGCAGTTTAGAGAGAATTAGGAGTGAGTATACATGCCATAAATGTTTATGGGACAAGCAGCACCAACTTCAAAATATGTTATCTATTGTTTATTAGAAATTGCACTTGGTCTTTGTTTCTCTCATTTCATCATCTTAATAACCTTGCAAAGTAGGTATTATTCTTATTTTATAGATGGGGTTCTTTGATTTACAAAACAGTAAGCTGTAAGAGATGCACGAGTATATGAGTTTGAATTAGGATTGTATGAGCTAGTAAAGGACACAAAATAATTTTAAACCTAGATCTATCTTAGTTCCAAACCACTGTTTTCCCCAGGGCCTTCTCTCCTTTTACCAGGATTTGAAAATATATTAGTAGAAACTGAATGGACACTCAGGTCCCTATATATTATGCATACATTGTTTTCTATAGGAATATACTTGTCATTTCTCTCCCAAAGAATATAAAAAACAAAATGAAGATATTACATATCTCTTTAAATAAAACATGTTACAAAACAGCCAGTAGATCACCATCTCCACCTTGCAGAAACCAAATAGCTAATGATCTATATATCTAAAAAATCTGGAAAGAACATACATCAAAATGTTAACACTGTTTGTCTTTGGGTGGTGAGTGTTAGATCTTATTTTCTTTATCTTATTCTTTTTTTGGTGTTTTCACATTTTTTACAACGGACATGTATTTCTTCAGTAATCATAACACCCCCCCCACACACACACAAACGCAATAAATATCATACAATTCCATTTCACATTTTATGTAACAAACAGCAATAACATTATACAGATTAAAACTCGTCTGAACTACTGATATAATTAGCAAATGAGTTTATTCCTTGTGTTTATAATAATTGCTTTGTGCATTGTTTCTATAGTTGTGCATCCAGAGTCAGCGGAAATCCCGGAGGATCTTCATCCCTTGTGCATAAAACAAAACAAAACACGCACAAGACCTGAGATCTTTGGATCTCAGCTGTGGTTGGAGACAGACGAGGAGCAGCACCCGCGGCTGGCAACACACTTTTGGATCTGTGCACAGGTAAACCTTGACTGAGATTTGTTCCGGATCCCTCAGCTCATCTCCGGACGCTCCCGTTGCCTAGTAACGAGAGCCACCTTCCCCGAGCTCCACCTCCTTTTTTCTAGACTACCCCCCGGGTCCCTTCAGCCACTCAGAGGCCGCCACCGCAGGCCCTCCGACGATGATTGGAGAAGTGCATGGGCGGTGCTTGGGGAGGGCCTTCCGCGCTCAGGAGAAACGTAAGCACGTCGACGCGGGGGGTTTTCTCTGTTCGGCCCCTTAATGCTGCTGGGTTCTGTGAATCTGCACATTGGGTCGCCGGTCCCTGGGCATGGAGGGCAGTCGTTTTCCGCTCGCGGGCTGACGCGATTATACCGGCTTTGTGCTCGGACTGACCGTCTGCACCTGCCTCTCGATCTCTCCTTCGGGGCTAACCGCCTTATAAGGTCCTCGGAGCGGCGGCGGCTTCGGGACTTGGCCCGCGGCAACTAGGGGCCCACCCCCCACCCCCGCTCCAGGCTCGGATGGGAGGCGGAGGGAGGAGCGGCCTGGGATGTTCAGTCTGATGGCCAATTGCTGCACCTGGTTCAAGCGGCGGCAGGAGCCTGTCAGGTAGGCTGGAGCCGGCTGGCCCGGGGCCGTCCTAGGAGATGGGACAGCTGCGCCCCGAGGAGCCGGGACGGGAGCCGCCTCACCTCTCTGCGCCTGGTGGAGTCTCTCCCAGGCCGCGGGGGATGCTTTCGCTCCCAGTTTGATTTGTCCTCGGCAGGGAGAGATAGGAGGAGGTAACCTTTTAACCTGGTTGCATTTAAATTCCCATCAACAATGCTATTATTATAATTTAAATGGGTTCGAAGTTCTTAAAAGTTGTAGATTTTGTGTGTATGTGTGTGGAATTGGAAACTGTCCGTTGTGTGTTTTTCCTGTGAAGCTTTTGTAATAATTTTTTTTTTTTAAGTAGAGAAGCATGGGATATAGTTTTCATAACATCACACATCTGTTTCACAGACACGCGCACTCACGTTTACGTGGGCTTGGATTCTGGCTCCACTTCTCAATAATTGCAGTGTATGACTTAAACACTTTTGGCCCCACCTTCCTCATGGTAAATGAGGGTGAAAATATCTGTGCTTTTGGAGTGTTGAGAATAATTAATGGAAAGTGTTTTCTTAACTGTAGTGTAGCTTCAATTTTCTTATGAAATCTAGTTAATCCTGTTAATTGAGTCCAATTCTTAACTTTTTATTTTAAAATGCTAGATATATTAATATTCAGTGCCTGTTACTAGGTATTCATTCATTTCTCAACAAATACTTGTTGAGAGAATACCTTGTGCCAGGCATTGTGCTAGGAAGGAATCAGGGAAAATGATGTTTTAAATTGAGAATCTCAACCTATAAAGAAAGCTTAAGTTTGTTACTCTTTATAAATAATATTGACTTGGTGTACTTCTACTTTAGAATTAGGACAAGGGTAAATTGTGGCAAAGTTTTTGGGTTTTTTAAGTCATTAATATTTCAAACATAGTATTTGCGGTTAAAGATGAACTATCCTTTAAAGAATGAATCTACAAACTATGCTTGTATATTATAAGGAAAAAATATATGTCTACATTTGGAAAATAAATTGCTCTAAACAAAACTTTTGTAATTTGTTCCCCTTTATTATCTCTTAACTGTTTTAAATATATGTGATATGATTGTTGGAGTCAAAGATGTTTGTGTGTATAGATTCTGATTTGTCTTAATTGTATTCTGTTCTGACTGCAGAGTCTCTACTGAGACTTGAGGGTCATTCATGATAAATGGCTCATTATGTTGTTTTGGTTTTTTTTCCTATGTCTGCTTTTTAAAAATGTGTTTTGTTTTTGGAAGAGGGCACAATACCGTGTATCCTTTTAACTAAAAACACCCCAAAAGCTTACACTCCAAAGGAGTTTTCAATTTAATTCATCATTATTTGTGTTTGCTTCTCTTAGCAGATATAGTATACCGTAGTTTGCTGTGTGCAATGCGCTCCCGTGTGTAATGCGGACCCACATTTTTGGCCCAAACTTTCAGAGAAAAAAATCTTTCGTTTTAATTTTTTAATTCAAATTTTTACTTGTTTACATTTAGGTACTTGTTTTTTGTATTATAAAGGCATTCTTGCATTTATTTTTTATTATATTATGGTACAAGAAATTTTATGTAACAAGTAATTACAAAACACAAGAACAGATAAAATATACAAGAAATTTTATGTACTGGTAACAAATGTATGATATTTACACATCATAGAAGGCCAAGAACTCTTCATCGTTGCAAGTTCGTTGTGAGTTCAACAAAACCAATTATTGTATTCCAAGGTATTATTTTGTATATGGATATCATTATTGATTTCTAGAGTTACACTTTTAACTCATAAGCATAAATAAAAGAATTAAAAACATTTATATAGCTATGGAAATAGTACTACCCATGTATAATGCTCATCCTTATTTTTTCCTCACAGATTTGGGCAAAAAAGTGTGCATTATACATGACAAAATATGGTAATCTCTCGTACGATTGTTTAAAGGACAGAGCTCAGAGAAAGGAGAATGTATTGCTGTTTCGAGTAGCATCTAGATCTGTGCTGTCCAGTAGAATGGTGACCAGCCATTGGAAACGTGGCTAGTCTGAACTGAGATGCTAAAGTATATAATACAAAGTGGATTTAGGAGATTTATTATTCAAAAAAGAAAATAAGTAAATATCTTTTAAGTCTTTTTAAAATATGGTTACATGTTGAAATAACTTGCATATAGTATAGGTTTGAATAAAATATATTAAAATTAATTTTACCTTTTATTTTCACTTTGTTAAAATGCACTTACTAGAAAATTGAAACTGGATAATTTAAACTTATAGATGTGGTTTACAGTTTATTTCTATTGGACCTC